GTCCTGTCTGCACTACTGGGTTCGTTCCTGTCCACCAAACCCTGACAGAGGCATGTTCAGAACTATTTAACTAGACATTTGACAAATAAATTAAAATGTCATTGTCACTCATTTACCACCGGTTGGCTGGTCATTAGCTCGCTTAAGTACAGCTGTATAACTGTACTTCAACCAGAGGGGGGGGGAAACTTGACCCCTGTCTTTACAAACACATAAAACATTCAGTCACTCAGTCTAAACACAGTTTATGTCACATTTTCAGTGGGTAGGGACGACTGAGGACCAGTTTGTGAACAGCATTTATAAAGGAGTTTCAAAAATGTCTAAAAATGTTTGTGGGGATTCTCAGTTTCTTCGTGAGTGAATTGCAGAAGGTGGCCGCCTGTTGCAGTGCCTGCTCGGATTGTATTGACAAGCTACCCAAATAAATCAACTTTTGAAGCATTTTATCGCTTTAAAATATCCCCAATATTCAAAACTCCACAGCTGTTCATGGAAATGCTATTTTATGAACACTGATGCCAGTTTTGGTTATTTTAGTAGTCTTATTATGAAATTCCTACAGGAAGAGACTCAAAGAATTGTATGTAAAATGTCAGAAATTGAGGGCAATGTGATCATCAGTTCATCAAACAACGTACACAAGAACCATTATAATGTTTTTAAGATTTGAGTTGGTTAAAAAGGGCACAAATCTATCGTGACCTTGGCTCTGAGATTAGGCATGCCAGTCTGAGACTAAAGCTTGACTCATTCTGTGAGAAATTAAAATATTTTCTGTTGTTCACATAGTTGTGAGACGTTCTTTTCTACGTTAATATTTTATTCTCAATGAGAAACATTAATGCAGAACTCCTAAAGGCTATCTTCATTTTAAAAAGTGTATACAATTGAATGATATGGTGTCAGGTGTATGGGCCTCAGAGTCTTATACCTGCTTGCTGCAGGTGATGGGATTCTGTTGGCATTTTCAAACAACTACTACTATTAATTTATTTATAAAGAACTTCAAAACAACCACAGCAGCAACAACATGCTTTACATGTAAAGTGAAGAAAACATTAAAAAATAATGAAAAACATAAAAACATTAAGATCTTTTTTTTTTATTATTAACCAGTAAACATGGATTTTAAAAAAAACTTTTTAAAATGGACAGTGAACGGGCTCGTCTGATGAGAAAAGGGAGATTCTTCCATAAATTTGGAGCAGCAACAGAAAAATCTCTGTCCCCTCAGAGCATCCGTTTGGACCTTGGCACCTCCAGGAGAAACTGACCCGAGGAACCAAGCAAGAGAGTACATGTTACATGACTACATGTTACATGAGAGTACATGTAGACGCTACAAGGGATCCTTCCTGCCCACAGCCATCAGCATCTATAACAACTCATTAATGAAACCAGGATGATGAGTTACCACAACATTCATAAAGCGTTCAATACAAAAAAAAAAAACATGTAATTTCCCTCTGGGATTAATAAAGTATTTTTGAATTTGAATGTGAAGCAGCTCAGAGAAATAAGATGGGGAAAGACCATTTAAACTTTTAAAAACAAATAAAATAATCTTTGAATGAGCTCTTAAGTTTATCAAGCAGCCAGAGGCAAATCCACAATGGGGGTGATGATTTCCATCTTTTGAACTCCAGTTAGAAGCCGAGCAGCAGCATTCTGAACCAACTGGAGACGTCTGAGGGAGGACTGGCTGACTCCAAGGTAAAGAGCGTTACAGTAATCCAGCAGAGAGATGCTGAAGGAATGGATTACTGTTTCAAACTGCTATTGTGTAAGAATCAACTTTACCTTAGCCAGCTGGCCTCGACAACCGCTCCAATCTGTGAATATAATTTAAAATCACTGTCCATTTTAAAACTAAATTAGAAACAGTTTCCTTTACATGTAGTGCCAAGGGATCCAGATCAACAGGGGAAAGTTCACAGGAGTCACTGGGACCAAACACCATCACTAATGTTTACTTTTCATTAAAAATTAAAACGTTTAAGGACAGCCAGTTTTTGATGTCTTCAAGACACAACAAAAGTGACCTAACTGAGAGAGCAACGTTCATTTTAGTGGCATATATGTCTGTCTATTGTCAGCATAGCAGTGAAAAAAATATCACATGCTTTCTAAGGATTGAGCCCAAAGGAAACAGGTAGAGTAAAGGGTGAAAAACAGGGGCCCTAAGATAGAGCCCTGTGGAACCCCAAAAGACAGTGGAATAGTGGAGGATTCAAAACCAGCTATGTTGACACACATGGGTATGTTTAACAGATATGACTTAAACCAGCTTAGCACTGTGCCAGAGATACCCACTTGGCGCTGTAAATGTGAAACTAAGATATTGTGGTCCACTGTATCAAAAGCTGCAGTAAGGTGAAGCAGGACAAGAATGACATGTTCACCAGAATTGTTATCCATAAGAATGCCATTAAAAACTCTGACTAAAGCTGATTCTGTGCTGTGCTGAGTTTTGAAGCCAGACTGGAAACACTCCAGGATATTGTGGTTATCCAAAGAACATTTGATACGGGGAAACAAGTACTTTGTAATAATACTGAAAAATTGTCATAAAATATTTCAGCATATAAAAAAAAAAACTGCAAGTATTGTGCCTCAAGAATACTTTAAATAAATATGTAAACATTTCAAATTGTGCTGATTCTTAGTGTGCAGCAAGCACCACCTGTAAATGACACGGGGGGGTGGTGGGGGGGGGGGGGGGTATCTGAATTTTCTCCTGCAGGACAAATTCACATAACAGTGACTGTGCCTTGTGGCAGAATTCAAATACGCACTCTTGTTGCACCACTCAGGGTTTTATTTATTTATTTATTGCACCTTCTAGTGAATCTTATCAGTCACTGCCTGCTTTCCAACACCCCACCCCTCATTCATTCTCCCTCTTTTCAATGAGATTATCTCCTTGGAACAAAGCATTCCCCCTACCCAGTCCTAAAAAAAAGTCAAAACAACCTTCCTAACCAATTACAAGGCCATCCACCAGCACCTCACAGCTCCTCGCCTCGTGTAATTGAGTGGGCAATGGAATAACATGCCCCTTGATGAAATTTTTCACACTCGGATGAGCGTTCCACCATCACCCAGTGTGGAAAGGAAGAGTACGCTGCAGGTGTGATCGACTACAGAGGTAATTTGCAAGTGGAAAGCAGCCAAAGACTCCACGAGTGAGTGCCTGCATGTGAATGGGCTCAGCCGACATGCAGACCTTGAAATTAAAAGATGAAATGAACACAAAAGCAATAGTGAGAGAGTTTAGGAGTTAATAGTCCAACGTTTCGCAAACTCTGCTTGTAATTTACTTTCATTGGCAGATGCTGTTCTCAGTGGAGCCTGACTGCCAAGTGCCAAGCTTACCTTCTGTTAAAGGGCTGGACTGGAACAATGAACTGAAAAAAGGTCCACTCACCCCTTCTTCACAATGATGACAATAGCCCCCAGCAGCAGGATGAGGACCACCAGACCTCCGGCACAGGCTCCCAGGATCAGACCCATGTCCTCAGCGTGCTGGGATACCTCCAGAGCTGTCTTTGAGTCCTTACAGGCAGCTTAAACACAACAGAGATGAGAGAAGGGTGAACAAGAAAAAGATAAAACTGAAAACAACAATCATTCTAAAAACTTAATATGTTAAAAAAATTGTTCAGTTATTAAATTAATACAATGTAAACCAATGGTTTATGTATGTAGGTGCAATGCACTATGCATTTTTCTAACTGTCTGACAATAAATCAGAATAAACCTGTTTTAAGTTAGTTGAGAATTCTAAAATTACTCTATTTTTCACCATATAAGTTGCACCTTTTGCATAAATGTGCAAGTCCTGCGACTTATACAGCTAGGCGACTAATATACTTTTTTTTTAACCATATTTATAACCCCGTTTTTGGCTGAGATCTGACGATTTAATTCATTCTGACGTGGAAAATATTGAACACTACCATTTTCAGCCACCAGAGGACCCTTGATTTATATGGCAAGCCAAGTGTCTAATTAATAGGTAAAAGTGGCTATTAATGAGACACTTGTCTTGCCATACCAAGCCACCTTTGTCTCGCTCCAGAATTCCTGGAGCAAACGTCAAATCAGCTGCATTTTGCGGCGCCGCCCCGATGAAATGCAGCTGATTTGACCATTAAAGAGCATTTATTAAGGAAAACTTTGACTGAAACACACCTTATCTATAATGTGGAGCAAACAAATAATTGTTTTTAAGTGTTAATCTTGTTAAATTTTTGTTAAAGTCCTCCCGTGCACGTGCCCACGGCCGCCATTTGGAAGCCAATCTATTTTTGGCACAACACTGGCCCACATTTCCAGGTGGCCAGCGGTGACGCATAATAGATGCAACGCATATGGTGAAGTGACGTATTTATGTATTTTCCCACTTTTTTAGACGTATTTGGACTGATGCAACATATACGGTAGTACATGGTAGTACAACCGCAATTATGGTACTTCTATTTGCTGAATGTTCAAATAATGAGAAAAAAGATTTTTAAAAAAAGATTTTTTTTAATCACTCATCAAAGTCACAAGTTTACACAAACTAAGCTTACTATGCCTTTAAACAATTTGGGAAAACACAATTAATGGTGGCATGGTTTTGGTGCTATGTTTAGTTTAGCTGACAACATTAAAGTCAGTTGGAGGTTCAGCTGTGGATGCATTTTAAGATGCATGCATTTGGTGTTTAGAACCAGTTTGACATGACTGTCGACTATGGAGAGGGCAGGCACCGGAGGACAGGGCGTGCCCCAGAGGCCATCTTAGCACCAACACAACTGTTTTTTTTTTTTACTTTGGAGTAAGCTGTTTGGGGAGAATCAGTTTTGTTTGGTGTTTCCTCAGACTGATGAAGCCTGCCGGATGGACGGCGAAATGTCTCGGCACAAACAAAAAAAAAAACTGTCCAGATGATCTGACTGAAAATTGTTGGATTTTATCCCTGGATTATTGAGTATGGATTGTGGTGCATTTTAAGATATATCTCAAACACTGCTTCTCTGTGTGGCATCATGGGAAACCCAAAACAAATGAGCCAAGATCTCAAAAAGTGATTTGTCGGCCTTAACAACTCTGGTTTTATCCTTGGATGTAGTTATGTGTCCCTGTGTCTCTTTTTTGTGAATGAGTGTCTGCTTAATTCATGTCTTTTCTTTTCAGTTTTGAATAGCTGGTGGGACTTTAAAAGGAACAAGTTCTGCCTGCTAGACGAGCGAGCAGGGCAGAAAGGAGAAGCGTTAGTCTGATACAACGTTCAGTCAGGTCATATGGACAGTTTCATTTGCTTTTGCTAGGATGATTCGTCCTTCATCATTTCAAGTCCTTCATTTTCAGGTCTCTCTTGTAAATGAGTCCTCGAGGCTCAATGGGATTAACATGTCTAAATAAAGGTTCATCCAAAGGACTTCATCAATCCAAGGAACCACAAAAAAAAAAAAAAACAGTCCCACAAGCAACACACTCCCATAGTGGGGGAAAAAAAAAACAGTTTACAGGTGATAAGATGGTTTCTGGGGCCTGTCATCTCCCGTGTCAACTCCTCTGAGGTAGCAATAGCCAGAGTGGTTAAAACATCAAAGTTAATGCTCAATAATCCAGATAAAAATCCTACAGCGTACAGTCAGGTCATTTGGATGGTTTATTTTTTTTGCCATCAATCTGAGGAGCCATAACAGGTACAATTTCCAAATGCCTGAAGGTGCCCTGTGCATCTTTTGAAGTATAAACACAATGGGAACATCTTGTCATTATACCACTTAGGAAAACACATCCATCCCATTGGTACATTTTCATCTTTAAAGCACTTCTTGGTTTGTTGCCTTCGTACATCTCCTCCATCTCCTACATGTCTCTGCGTGAGTGCAGCTACAGCGTGCGCTCTCAGGACATTATTACCTGCAGTGTTCTCTCAGTGAGGACTGAACTAGGCAAAAGGGCCTTCTCCTACTCCACTCCTGTTTCCTGGAATATCTTACAAAAAGACCTGAAACTCTCGATCTTGACCTCTCTAAGTGGCTTTAAACATCTGTTAAGTTCATGGAACAAACCAATGCATTTAAGACTAATTTCCCCTTGGGGACAATAAAGTATACATTTATCTATCTATCTATCCTGCTTTTAGTATTTTATATCACTTTATAATGTAGCTGTTTTGTTTAGTTTTTTTCTTTCATTTCTTCCATTTAGTTTTGATTGTATATGCTTTTATATGATTGTCTACTGTTGTCATCTGTGTTCGTTGTTTAAAACAGGTCTCTCTTGTAAATGAGTCCTTGAGGCTCACTGAGACTAACCTGTATAACCAAAGCTTGAATTGAATTCTGTGTTCCTGAGATGAACGTGTTCTTGTGCAAAATTTGAATATAGAACATGTGAAGATGCTACGGAAGCTGGTCAGAAAGAGTAATTATCTACAGTGAAACAAGTCCAGTACAAACACAGGTTGAACGGTCAGTCTTAGAGGAAGAAGTCATTACTCCAAAAATATTAAAAAGCCAAATTACAGTTTACAAATGCACACAGGGACAAACACCTTAATTATGAAGGACATATCCTGTGGTCTGATTAAACTAAAATTTAACTCTTTGGCCACAATATCTACTGCTACATTTGAAGGAAAAGGGAGGAAGCTTGCAAACCTGAGAACACCATCTCATCTGTAAAGTACAGTATCCATCATGTGGATGTGTTTTGCTGAAGAAGGACTGGTACATTTCACCAAGTAAAAGGCATTATGACGAAAAAAACATTATGTGGAAACATTGAAGATGTATCTCAAGACATCAGCCAGGAAGTTTAATCTTAGGTGCAAATAGATATTTAAGAATGACCCTGAGCATATACTGCCAAATAATTTACAAAACAGCTTAAGGACAACAAGGTTAATATTTTGAGGTGTCCATCATAATCCTTGATCTCAATCCCATGAAGAATTTGTGGGCAGACCTGAAAAGGAGTGCGTGAGTAAGGCAGCCTACAAACCTGATTCAGTTCCAGTTCTGTTAGGAAGAATGGGACAAAAGTCCAACAAACTTTTGTGAGAAGCTTGCATTCAAGGATTCAAGGTTCTTTATTTGGAATACACATCTCATGTGGGACATATGGTGGAATGAAATTGTGTACACAGGGTCCCAGTTACATGTAACAAAAGAATAAAATGTAAAAGAAAAACAGTAATAAGATCTAAGATATGAAAAAAGAAAAATGTTAATTAAAAATACACTAGTACTACAAAAACAATATGTCGAACAGCAGCACACACATGAGGCTGTGTGAGCAGATGAGCAAACATGAACACATCAACATTAAACAGATCAGCAGCAACATTGAAACAGATCAGCAGCAACATGATGTGATTATTCTGGTTAGAGATTCATGAGTCTAACAGCCTCAGGGTAGAAGCTGTTCCTCAGTCTAGTGGTTCTACACTTAATGCTCCTTAACCTCCGTACTGAGGGGAGCGGGGCAAAGTGTGTGTGCTGGGTGGGTGGGGTCCTTCATGATGCAGGTGGCCCTCTTCCTGCATCTGGAGGTGTAGATGTCTGTGATGGTGGGGAGACTGACTCCAACATCTTCTGTGCAGCCTTCACCACTCTCTGCAAAGCTTTTCTTTCTGCAGCTGTGCAGCCTCCATGCCACACGTCGATGCTGGAGCACAGGATGCTCTCCACTGCACACCTGTAGAAGGAGGTGAGGACTGAGCTTCCCAGACCAGCTCGTCTCAGCCGTCTGAGGAAGTAGAGACTCTGATGAGCTTTCTTGATCAGGCTGGTGGTGTTGTTGCTCCAGCTGAGGTTGTCATTCATGTGTACACCCAAGTACTTGTAGCTGGAGACCACTTTATTCGGGGGTGGTGGGTAGGTGTGTATGTTCCTTCTGAAGTCCACGACCATCTCATTTGTCTTCTTCACATTGATATGGAGGTTGTTCTTCCTGCACCAGCTCTTCAGGTGTTCCACCTCCTGCCTGTAGCTGGACTCATCATTATTTGTGTCCAGAGTTCATGGTCATGGGTGACGGTAGGACCGTAGACCGACCGGTAAACAGAGAGCTTTGCCTTACAGATCGGCTTCCTCTTCACCACAATGGACCAGAACAGTGTCTGCAATACTGCAGATGCTGCATCAATCCATCTGTCAATCTCACGCTCCATTCTTCCCTCACTCATGAACAAATCTCCAAGATACTTGAACTCCTCCACTTGAGGCAGAACCTCACCCTCAAAATATCAAATACCATCAAAATATTCTGTTTTTAAAATCTGCCACAAAATATGGATTGAATGAGTTTATCATGCAGCCATGCAAAAATATTCAGTGTACAAAGCGAAAATAATAAAACCATATGATCTGTTTATCTCTTATTTGAAATACTGCAAAAATATATTTTTATATTTCATTTTGTGAATGTTCATTATTTAATGTATTAAATATATAAAGTTTAAATTATTAGTATGACTGATTCAGACTATTGGCTGGCTAAGGTACTATTCTCTAAGCAGTTAATGAAAATAACTATAAATAATTAGCTTATAGAATGTACG